GAGAGAGAGAGAGAGAGAGAGAGAGAGAGAGAGAGAGAGAGAGAGAGAAAGGAAAAGGAAAGAAAAAGAAAAGAAAGATTGACAGTTAATATATAATATGAATATATAATATTTCACTGTGATTATCAGTGAATACTATCTGGCTCCTTCCCATCTGATCTCACTAAACTTGCAGATTATTATTTCTGTAAAGTGACTTGTTCTCAACTTTCATTTAGAAACTAGGTATTGTTGGTTCATTCTATACTTAGCCTTTCAGAATTCTCTTGAGTCCTATGTTTTAAAAAGAAGATAGAATATGTCAATGAAATAATTCAGAAACTTTCTACTTTTACAATTTCTTGATTCTAAGTCATGAATCTTTTGAACACCTTATATCTAAGAAATTTAAATAAGTAGAAAGATAATGGAAGTACCATTTGTTGGCAGTATCATAACTTATTTGAAATGTTCTTTATTACTATTACATCTGTACATATGGTACATGTGTAAGTTTGGGCACACATACCACAGCACACAGCAGGTCAGAGGATAACTTTCAGGAGTCAGCTCTCCCCTTCCACAGTGCGATCTAGGATTTAAACTCGGGTCACCAGGCTTCCATGGCCAGCTCCTTTACCCACTAAGCCATCTGCTGGCCCCTTATAATTGATATATTGATAGGCAAAACATATCACAAAAAAATACCTTTTATGTATAAGAAACTAACAAACTAAAATCAAATATACTAATTTTGGTACCTTTGTCAAAACGGAACAAGCCTTGGTTTTATGACTTTAAAAAACCATGTTTACTTCACTTCTGACTCTAACCTTGGGCCTTCAACATTTTCCTTGTCATTTTCTGCTCCCTGATAAGGAGAGCACACTTGATACGTCATAGGCACAGTCAGCACAGCTAATGACTGCAGGTTCTTTAGTTTTAGACAACCTCACAAGGACTTTAGGTGCTACAGCACAAACGCCTGGAAGTTCACCGGGAAGAGACCATGTGTGGATCCTGACCTTCCCAATATAGAGGAAAGCAACCAACAGCAGGGGTCAGGACTGGCTAGCATTGGTAGAGGCCATACTACAACAAAGCCCATGACCACATGTCAAATGCGTGACTGTTAGAGTGCTTCTAAGCACTGTCCCCAGAAAAGAAAAAATAAAGTTAATTTTGGAACCTTCCCTTTTTTTTTTTAAGATTTATTTATTATGTATACAGTGTTCTGCCTGCATGTATGCTGTGCACCAGAAGAGGGTACCAGATCTCACTATGGATGGTTGTGAGCCACCATGTGGTTGCTGGGAATTGAACTCAGGACCTCTGGAAGAACAGCCAGCGCTCTTAACCTCTGAGCTATCTCTCCAGCCCCACAATTTTGGCACTTTTCTATCCTGATAGTACAGATATCTATTACGAGGAAAAAAGGATTAATTCCTGTTAACACACACACAAAAATGCATTTAATAGTTAAGTATAAAGGTTTTTAAAATGTTTATTTATGTTTATTTCATGTGTGTGGTGTTTTGTCTACATGTATTTATGTGTACCACATGCATGCCTGGTGTCTGTGAAGGCAAGAAGAGGGTGTCAGTTCCCCAGGAACTGGAGTTAGAAACAGTTGTGAGCCACCATATGGGTGCTTGGAATTGAACCTGGGTCCTCTGCAAGCAAAGCCAGTTTTTTAATCACTGAGCATTTCTCCAGCCCCTAAGATAAGGTTTTAATAATTGTTAGTTAATTAAAAATTATCTTTTTGCAAAATTTCATAATTTCACTTCTACATTTTTATAACATATATTTTGAAATGAAGAATTTTGCCTTAAGCCAACTCATCTTTTCTCATAACCAAAGTTTATTAATTGACCAAGAAAACAGACCTTATCAGTTGCCTTTTATTAACAGTTTATAAGGCTTTTAGTTACTAATAACATTTCTAGGACAGCGTTAGATGAAAGTAGCACTAGCAAATGAACACAGGGCATGCTACAGATTAAAATTTATTAGGGGGTTGGGAATGTAGCTTAGTTGGGAGAGTGTATGCATGAAGCCCTGGGTTCAGTCTCCAGAACTATCTAAACTGGGCATGGTGGCACACTCTTATAATGCCACCATCTTAGAGATAGACACAGGAGGATTAGAAACTCAAGTTCATCCTCGGCTACATAGAAAGTTTGAGGCCCACCTGAGCAACAGAAGACTATTTCCCAAGAACAAAACAAGCAAACAAACAAACAAACAACAAAAAAAAAAAACTGACCAAGGTGCCTTACTTATATGAACGCTATGATAAACAAATAAGATACGCAAAAAAAAACCTCACTTTTAGGTGAGGAGATTATTGTACACTGAGATAGACATAAGGACTTCAAATACTGGATCCTGTGGGCCTTAGAGAGCCAAGAAAAATCTTTAATAAAAAAGAAAAGAGAATGTTTCTCAACTTCACAATTGGTAAGCTTAAGCTCCTTAATTATTACCACCAGTAGTAAATCGGCCTCCAAACTTAGGTACAAGTTAATTTGCATGATACAGAGAGATGAGAGGACAGCATTCTATTGTTTCAGAAAACCCATATAATCCCTTTACATTTGTTTCTGAGACAGGGTATCACTGTGCAGCCCCGGTTTGCCTGGAACTTTCTATGTAGACCAGGCTGGCCTTGAACTATCTGCCTGCCTCTGCCTCCTGAGTGCTAGGGCTAAAGACATGCACTGTCACACCTGACACCACTCTCAAATTTTTGACTCAAAGAACCTGCTTCATTTTTCAAATTTTTAGAAATTTACACGAAAGGTAAATAAGCCTCAACTTCCTTTTCTAACACTCACAATGTGCTTGCTTCCTCAGAGATGTTTGCTTCCTATCAAAATTCACTTTACTATTTGATTTGTTTCTGCTAAGTGTAGTATCTTAAAAATATCTCTATCTAGAAGGGGCTGGCGAAATGACCCAGCAGGCAAAGTGACTGCCTCCAACCTAACAATGGGAGTTCACTCCTCAGAATCAACAGTGGAAAGAGAACTGAGTCTCACAAGTTTTCATCTGTCTTCCACGTGTATGCTCCTGGCATGCTTACATGTGTGTAAGTGTGCACAGGCACACATGTGAGATTAATAAAAGTAAAAGGACATAATATATATGCAGACATTTTATTTCCCTTTTTATTGGTTTTGTTGCATGACTCCTTTTTGCTTTAAAAACATTCTGGGCTACAGTGCTGTATGGAACATGAATTCATAGTAAATTGTTTTATTAATGTATGCCATTGTTGTAATCTTGTTAGATTTTCTTCTTTTAAGTATAAGAAAAGATCTCCCATACAGGAAAAAAAAAATCAGAGCATTTTGGCCTTTCTATTAATGTAGCATGGAATAATAACAAATCAAGCCCCCCAAATTTGTTCCAAATACTACATGTATATTATAGAGGCTTAAATTTATTATATTTACAACATTATTAACAGATGTGCTATGGTTACATAGCTAGAACAGATATTTATAGAGCAGAGGCTGACTAATTCTACCCATAAATGGTACAAATTAATTCCAAGTAATTAAATCAGAGTTTTCAAAGTAATTAACACCCAAACTCATTACTCCTTAGGGTGGCAAAGCAAAATATATCAAAGTATTATAAATTTATTAGTGTGAGAATTTAGGCACATTTTTTTGTTCCTTGATGAACATTTTAACACCTACTATAATACCTACACAGTAAGATATATAGTACCTACTACTCATCTTGATAAACATTCATGATGTATCTTTTATTATTCTCAAGAAGTGTTAAAGGAATTGGAGTGTTAATATAGTATAAAGTGGCACTGACCATTATGAAATATTATCAGAATTTGATAGCTTAAGAACAGGAAACTGAAATCATAAAGTACTTTTCCTGCCCTATATAAGGAAGCTGATTATAGCACTGATAAGAAAATGCTGAAAAAATCAAATAATAACAGAAGGCAATGATGGAGCAAGCATGCTAGTGTGGCCAAATACTTACTAGGTCCATTTAAAATATTGGTTAACTACAGACTTTAAAAAAAGAAGAGCCAGGAGTCTATAAGCATAGGTTCATTTTGGCAAATAGAAAATTTCTACAAAAATATCAAAGCAGGCAAGAAATTCAGTAGATTTATCAGAAAAAGTTCAACAGCTTTAAAAGTATAAACAGTTGCCCCTTTCCAAATAGTTTTACAGTAAGATAACGCACTGTTGTATATTCACGCCTCTGGGTAAGGCTCCTGTCAACCTGCCCCTCTAGTAGCAGACACTGAACACCACTATATTGCCAGGAAGGGAAGGAAAAGCCGCAAGCACATTAGGTCCCCATCTGAATGGGAGGGAACACTGGACTCCACAGAGCGGTATTAGAAAGCAACTGGAGAAGCTGCCGGAGCACACTTGACATCAATAACCTGAAGCTCGAGGGTCCCGTGAAGAGCCCTCAGGAGGAGACTGATCGGAAGTGGAAGCGGAAGGCTGATGCTGGGCCTGTGCTAACTCTTGCTGCCTCTGCTGCTCAGCCTTCTTAAGCCTCAGCTGCTGCAGGCGCTTACGGAGCAAAGCTATCTCAGGCCCCCTTAAAAATTCTGACACAGACAGGAAAAGAAAGAAAAGAAAGAAGAGAGTAACACAAGGAAAAACAGTGCAAAGTTGACTATACACTTAAAAAGGGGAAGATTAAATGAGACAGTTCAAAGAGGAATACCAAACACATTACTGATAAAATAGTCATTAAATTATGAGACAAGACTATACACATACAACCAAATGTTCCTCTTTAATTTTGATGAATTAGATACATAATTTCTACAAATATCCAAGTAACCAAATTAATGAAAATAAAGTTCTCCATAAGCAAAACACCATTTTACTTTATTTTATGGTACTTTACTTCATATTATGATACTACAGATTGAATATAGGGCCTAAGCACATATTTGATCACTGCACTATACACTTAGCCTGTAAAATGCTAAATTAAACATTCAATTTTTCATCATTTTCTTTTCTTTGTACAGAAAATAACTATAAAATATTAACTTAAATAATCTAAGCAAAAAATTAAGTTACTTTACTAATTTCAATAAAATAAATAACAATTAAAATTCAATAAAAGGTGTAAAAAGTTATGTATTTAAAAACAATTCTTAGAATTCATTAGATCTTTTAAAAATTCAAGTTATATGTCATATCCTTAAAAATGTTCCTTTTTATGTTGGAATTGTCATTTATCTTTTATATTTTAGTTCAAAAAGATTTATACAACATTTTATTAATCTTTTCTGAGGAAATGATCCAGGTGAAAAGAAAAATTCCATGAAATTCTGCAGAGGCAGTTTTATACCTATTACATATGAGGTTTCAGGGACAATAAAACATTGAGCAAGCTAATCCTTCCCCTACGGAGTTTACATTCTGAGGGAAAACAGGCATCTGTGACTACACCAACACACACGGAGATGTACGCATGTATGCCCCCGGGGTAACTGCTATGACAAACTAGTACAGAAGGCCTGGAAGACAGATGGAGGGGAGAGAGTGCTAGTTTGTGACCAGTCCTCAGGAGATCCTCTACGTGCTGCAGTAAGCTACACAGCTATCATGAGGAAGCTGTTCCTGCAGGAGGAAAGGGCAAGAGGAATGCTCAGCAGAAATGTGGGGGATGTGAGGGACACAGGCAGCGTATTTGCTAATGTCTAGACAGAATGAGAAAGGGTGGGGCTAGGTACAGGGAAAAGAAGCTGTCATTTGCTACAGTGAAGAAGAAAGAAAGAACAATTCATTCTGAAAAGAACTAATAGCCATCCAAGTAGAGGAGGTAACCAGAGATTGATGTCAAGAGTCAAGAATCCCTAACAGAAATTTGGATGTCACTGATTGCGAAACTTTAAGGCCCCTGACAAAAGATAAGAACTGAGCCCTGGGGAACTTTAATATTAAAAGGAAGACCAGAAGAAGCCAGGGGTAGGGCAGGCACAACTGAGGGACCAAAGTACTGTAGGAAAAGTGATGAAAGTGTGTCTACAAAGGATGGAGCAGAGCCGGGCGGTGGTGGCGCACGCCTTTAATCCCAGCACTTGGGAGGCAGAGCCAGGTGGATCTCTGTGAGTTCGAGGCCAGCCTGGTCTCCAAAGCGAGTTCCAGGAAAGGCGCAAAGCTACATAGAGAAACCCTGTCTCGAAAAACCAAAAAAAAAAAAAACAAAAACAAAAGGATGGAGCAAGCCAATGTGTCCGTGTTTCTAATACAGTCCTGAAAAGGACACTGGCTGAGACCTTCGTACTCTGTAAGTCAACGACAACACTGATGAGACTGTTGTGTGTGTACCAAGATGAGGCCGAAGAGACGGTAGCAGGTTCAACAAGTGAGGAGGGCAATGAAAAAGAAACAGAAAGCACATACACGCTGCAGAAGTACTGAATGTTAGTACAGGGGGACATTCGATGGGGTGAGGAGGAAAAGAAAAAGGGAACTTTGTGTGTTTTAACCGGGGAGAAAGTTTGTGCTGCTAGAATACAAATTGAGAAGGAAAATAATACATGAAAAGAAGTTGGCGAGTGCAGAGGTCCATAAAGGTTTCCTAGTGAGATCTGAGCTTGCTTTACCCGGCAGGGCTGCACTGGAAGATTGCTTGACCATGTGCATGGTTACTAGGTGACTGGAAGGGTCCGCACTAGGCTGTGCTAGCGGGAGGTCTTTTGCTCCACCCCTTGGCATTCCTATAAAGAGCCCTTTAGAAGAGACAGAAGGGGACAGTAGGTAAGGATCCAGGCCCTCCTGAGGCTATCTTGTGTTTCTATCTGCTTCTCTCCCCTCCGTCCTTCTATCTAATATCTCTTATCCCTCACTCCTCAAGAGTACCCTGTTGTAAAATGTGGGAGCCGGTCTCCCAGCTGGCTCCCACAGGCAAGTGCAGGACAGGTATCCCTGAACAAATCAAGGACATGAAGAAAAATTAGCTTTTAGTAATGGAAGCACATACAATTCCTCTTAGTAATACTTACAACAAATTACATTCTAGCCTCTCGTGCAAATTTTTGTTGTTGTTTGGGAAATCAAGGAAACTTGAGTCATAAATATCTTATTACCATGGCTTCTGTTTATAAAGAAGTGTCTTCAACCTGCTAATTAAGAATTAATGAACAATTCATCTTGAGTGAGATAATCCAGACCCAGAAAGACAAATAAATACTAGGTATATATTCTTTTAGATATGCATATTAGGTGTTAAGTCAATCATAAGCAAACTACAAGCAACAGAACCTGGAGGCTAGGTATAAAGTAAGCGACTAGAGGAGATGGTTAGATCTCCCCAGGAAGGGGAAATAGAATACATAGTTATGGATGAAAGGGACTGGAATGGATAAAGAGGGCATGGGGAGGGAAGATGGGATAAAGGAGGGACTATGGTGAGAGACAGCTAAAATTAAGGGCCATTTGAGTGGTAGTATGGAAACCTAATACAGTAGAAGCTTCCTAAAATACATACATACTATATATGTATGTATGTATATCTATCTATCTATCTATCTATCTATCTATCTACACACATATATTGTCTTCATACATATATGAAGACAATCTAAACAAATTTATCACATAACAGAGGAGACAGAGCCCCAACTAGACATCTCTTGTCAACAAATGAAGTTTCCAGTACTGGGACTGGGTTACATCTAATTGAGTTGTTGGCCAAAGGGGTTCCATGGGATCTGCCAAACAACCCAGGCTGCTGCAAAGACTATGGTTGCTCTCCACAAACTGATGGCAAGGGCCCATTGCTGAAGATAGCACCTAGACAACTCACTGAACATGGAGAAGTCAAGCTGGCACCTATTTAGAGCCTTCACCCCACTAGCTAGTGTTCTTGGTACTGGACAGTACCCTGCATGGTACCAAAGGAGAAACATAAACACCAACCCAACTACAATCTCTCTGGTCCACAATGGTGTCCCGCCTGCAAAAAAGGCCAGTACAATGGTGGCACAAAGCCTGTGGGAGTGACCAACCACTATCAGATCTGACCTAAGTCCCACTCCATGAGATGGAGTCCATACCCAATGCTGCTTGGCTGACCAAAAACCTGAGAACAAATAGCCCAAGGCCCTACGGGAAAACCAAATACTACTCTTCTACAAAGGGAATGTAAAATAATCAGATCAGTTCCTTGCTCATCCAACATCAGAGAAGCTTCCTCCTGCAGAAGATGGGAACCAATACAGAGACCCACAGCTACACAATATGCAGAGAGAGAAGAGACCTCAGAACACAGCCCTAATGAGATGTCTCCATCATCCCTCCGCTCAGGGTTCAGGGAATCATGTAGAAGAGAAAGCAGAAAGAATGTAAGAGCGAGTGGTGGTGGAGAATACCAAAGAAACAAACCCTTCTAAACAGAACAGGACTGAAGCACATATGAACTCACAGAGAGTAAGACAGACAACATGCACAGGGCCTGCATGGGTCTGCACCAGAGAGGGTTCTAGAGCTGAAAGGAGTGAACACATGCTTCATCCCTAACCCAGAAGCTATCTCCAATTGATAACCACTTAAGAGAAGGAAGGAAGGAAGGAAGGAGGGAAGGAGGGAGGAAGGAAAGGAGGGAGGGAGGGAAGTTAGTTTCCTCCAAGGGAAACAAACTACACTTAAGAGTAGTCTGCTTGCCCAGCAGTAGACAGTCAACAGAAAAGGAACTCAATGGCTTCTTCGAGTTTCTTTCTCTAATAGTGCTGGTGTCAGGACTTTTTCCTTTCTTTCTTTCTTTCTTTCTTTCTTTCTTTCTTTTTTTTTAACCCTACAGGACCTCTGCGTAAATAACATGGCTTCAAATTTTGTGTTTTTATGGGATTCCTGAGTGTATGAACAAGAGGGATTTTGTGTCTATATCTGTTTCTTGTGTCTTTTCTTGGACTCTTTTCCTTCTGTTTGTTTTATACTATTCAGCTTCCTTGTTTTTGTTTTATCTTATTATATTTTATTTTTTTATTATCCCTTAGATGTCCGTTTGTTTTCTAACAGAAAGGGGGTAGATCCGGATATTCAGAGAGGAAGACTAGGAGTAGAAGGAGGGGAAACCATAATCAGGATATATTGTATGAAAAAAAAAAAAACATCTGCAATAAAAGAGTTAATGAACAACTCAAGTATCATCAATAGACTTCTACTGTTAGTTCTTCCTGGGAAGTCTGCCAGTACCAAGGAGGACACTATGTACTGGCAAATCCTGTTAATACAGTTATTTAACAGTAATACCGCTAAAGTGTTCAGCATCCCATATTTTAGTCAGTATAATAGTTAATGCTTTTAGCATCATGAAATACAATTACATAATCATAAGGTTTGTCTTTTACACTCAAAAGAAATCTACCATTATCAGAATATATATTAGTCAAATTATGTTTGAAGAAAGTAGGGGGAGAAACAAGGGGAAGGAGAAAAGGGAGGGCGAGGGGAAGGAGAGAGACTGACATCTGGAGCCATTTGGTGTTATGTAAGACAATAGCAGACAGGTAATGCTCGAACCTCAATCCAGCAAGGCTTAGTTATCCTATATGCTCTCATTCAGTGCAGTTATTTAAAAAAGAAT